GCAAAGGAGAGAGATAGATGGCTGGTAGGAAAAAATAAAAATCCTGCAGCATGGAGCAAGTACAGAAAGTGCGGCCCAGAGGCTCTGGTCCTGTGAGGAAGGTCTGCAGTCCAGTGAAGTTGAAGGACAGGCAGAGCCAGTTATGGCCAGAGGACCAGACTCAGGGTATCCCTAAGAAGTTGGTATTTTAGGTAAAAAAAAAAAAAAAAAAAATCTGAATCATTTATCTTGAGATCAAAGTTTAAAGACTCAAAAATTCAATTTAAGGTGACTTGCTAAATCAAACTCCTCTACTGGAGAGTTACATGCTGCATTAGGATTTTAAATTGAATAAAGTTGTGTTCATGTAGAAAGGGTTTTTTTTCTATACCTCTGTAATCCTCAGGAGCAGAAAAAATGGACAGTAGACAAAAAAACAAGGCTTTTATTGTAAGAATAATTCTTATTCAAGTTGAAAGACTTTTTGAACAAGCAGAGTCTGATCATGATAGTGCATTTAACACAGGAAACCAGAATCTCCATCTATACTAATGAAACAGAAATAGATGAAGACCAAATGGAAATGCTTTCTTGGAAGTAATAGCTAGAGGTATTTTTCAAGAAAAAAAGATTGTGCAAAGACATCAAACACACATGTAAGTTTAAAAAGATCTTCCAGGGTTATCAAACCAGAGATGGGTTTGTTTGAAGATAGAGTCTAAAGAAGGTATTAGAAGTTGGTTTATAATTATCTCATGAACGTTCCCCCAACTCAGAAATGTACATATTCAGCAGCTGGGAAAAATTTCACAAAAATATAGTTGAGTTTGGATGACACACAAAAAAGGTTTAAATGATCTTTAGTTTTTTCTGTTTTTTAATTAACATTCTTTATTTTTATGTAGGGGTTAGTTTCTTTTTAAATAACACTGTATTTCTTATGCCAGTTTATACTAAAGTATAAATTGTGTTTTAATATTTATATTTTTAGAAATTTACATCTTTTTGTTGTAACATTTGTAAATTTTTGTATTTGAAATATATTAAATATTTGATTTCAATAACTTGTATTTTTGTGAATTTTTAACACTTTAAAATAGAATAACATTATTAATATACAAAATAAACACTTTCATTTTGCTCTAGTGTTCAGTCACTCTTTTAGAAGATAGTGTCTAAATAATATTTCAGTTGAGACCTGAAGGATGAGAGGACTTAGTTAAATAAAGTGGAGTTGTGGGAAGAATGTTCTAGGCAGAGTTTGTCAAGTGAGAAGGGGCCTGGTGAGTTTGAGAGACTGAGAGAAATTCAGTATAATTGGTTCAGAAGGATGATGGAAAGATCTAAGTTGAAGGAGGCTCAGGAGTGACGAGTTGTGAGGGCCTTTGGGAAGCCATGAAAATATCCAAGGACCCTTGGGAAACCAGCGAAGGATTTTAAACTTAATAGTGGTCAGATTTGATTTTAGAAGGATCATCTGTGAACAAATTGGTTAAAAGCAAACCAGTTAGAAAACTTAGAAACATCCAGGGAAATGATGGTGAGCGTAAGTCAGTGGCAGTGGGATGGAAAAAAGTACAGTCACGCATCGCTTAATGACAAGGATACGTTCTAAGAAATACATCGTTAGGCATTTTTGTTGTGCGAACGTCATGAGGTGCACTTACACAAACCTAGATGGTGTAGCCTGCTACACACCTGGGCTATATGGTACTGATCTTATGGGACCACAGTTGTATATGTGGTTCGTCGATGACCCAAACGTCATTATGCGGTGAGTGACTGTAGATAGATTTGAGAGATATTCAAGAACTCGAATTCACAGGGCATGACAGTGAGTCTGGCATGAACAACTAGGTGAATGTGGTAGCAGTCACTGAAATTGGGACTGCAGGGAGAGCTATATAGGATTATGTGGAAGGTGATGGGTTCACTTGTGCAGATGCCCATGGGACAAACAAATAGAGAGTTCCATTAGGTAGAAGAAAGATCTAGGGCTTAGAGAAGTCTGGAGTGGGCACAAAGACTTCTGAGAGTCCTCAACATTGAAATGGCAGTTGAACTTCTGAGAGTGGATGGAATATTCAAAATGGGAAGAGGAAGGGAAACTGAGTAAGAACAGCCAGATTGGTAGAAGGAAAATCAGGCAAGGGTGGTGTCATAGAAGCCAGGAAGAGTGTTTCCAGAAAAAATAAGGTGATCAAGTGTGCCAGATGTTATGGAGAGTCTGAGCAAGATAAGGACCAAAAGTATCTATTTGTTTTTAACTTTAAGACTATCGTTGGTGACTGTGCAATGGAAGTCAGATTATGGTAATTCTAAGGCAAGAATTTAGGCAATTCTTTCAAGAAGTTTCCAATGGAAGAAAAGAATGAAGAGATAAGCTGAAGGTTGATAAGGAGTTGAGGGGGTATTATATTTAAAGATGAGGGAGACTCGAGCCTGATTAAGTGATGAGAATGAGCCTGAGCCTGATGGGAATGAGCAGGTGGAGAGGGAGAAGTTGAAGTAGAAGAGAGAGTGATCAAGGCATCAGAGTCCCTGGGAAGGTGGAATGAGTGGAGGCCAGAGTGTACGGGGAGAGTGGGTTTTGGGTTGTAAAGAAAAGGAAGCAAAGTCTGGATCCAGGTAAGTTTGTGTGTATGATGGTGGCAAGTGAGGACAATTGCTTCTGAAATGGCTTTTTTTCTTTATGATGTAGACAGCATTATCATTTGGTGATGTTGAGGAGGAGGTAGGTGGGGGGAGGTTGAAGGAAAACAGAGTATGTTTGAAATACCTGCTCCAGAGAAGGGGAGCAAGAGCTGACCAGGGACAGCTTGACGACAGAGTTGAGGTTATTGACGATGAATTGATGGCAGCCCTGTAAATTTCCCCAGCAGCAGAGCACAGCAGTCTCACCTGCCCTTCCTGAGGTTTGTGGGTGTGTTTGAGGAGTTTCTAGAGAGTTGGGTTTCAGTTGAGTCCGTGAAGTGGAAGGAACAGAATTTAATGAATGTGACTCACACTCACCTTTGACACATCCACTGTTCAGTGCTGCAGGACCAAAATAGTTTCTGAAGTTACTGAAGCGTGTTAAGCTCTCTGCTCCTTCGGTAAATGGCCCCAGACTGCTGTCTTGTTTTGCTTTAAGTTCTTGTCTGCTTTTTTATACTATTTCTGTCTCCTCCCTTTCTGTTTTCTTCCCTCTCGTCAGTTGTTCTATCACTTTGCTGTCTGCATGCAAGTGTATATCAGCCCTACACACTGGACTTTGTCAACATCTGGAATTATCACACCTCTGAAATAAAGCTGTGGGCTTGAAGACCAGACAACCAAGCTTATTAAAATTATGTGCAAAGTAAGAGTAAATAACCTCTGTGATTCCCATGTGCTGTGCTTTGAGGGTGTACATGAGTGTTTGTACATGAATTTTGTGACATTGGGTTTTTTCTCAGTTGTCCATATTTGAGATGTTTGTTGCCTGTATTCCCATTGTGTTTTCTTGTTTTGAATTTCCATGGATTGTGATGATATTCTCAGACAGGCCTCAATATTTGTGATTATGTCTTCTGTAATCACTCTTTAGTACTTGCAAAGTATTTTCATATGCATTACCTAAATTTTAAAACTACATGATTAGCTGTTTTATGCTATCATTTCCTCTTACCCTCATGGATTTTCAAATACTTATGTATTTTATAAGAGAATAACGTGTCTTTTCCAATATTTATGCATTTTGTATGAGAATAACCTACCATGTCATGACTCAATCATTTAGCCATGTCACATGTGGATGAAATAGAACAGTGTAAAGTAAGTATTTTGGGAGTGTGAAAAACAAGTTATCTACTCTAGCTTTTCATATATTTCTGTGTTTTATGGACTTTCTCATCTGTGAACATATCATGTATGTATCAACAATTTTAATTTTTTTAAAGAAGTATATACTTAGGTATACAGTAAGTATCTTTTTAAAAAATTTTCTGTAAATTAATTTAATTTTGACCCTGACCTTCCTTCTTATTAAGAGGAAGGTAAATTCAGCACCAGTCTTTTGGAGATGTTCCCCACCCCTCAGTGTGCTGGGGTTTGGGCTCTTGAGCAATGCCAGAACATTGAGAAGAGGCCCTTGCATCATCGTCAGTGACCTGGCCACACCAGGCCTAGGAGAGGCCTGTTGTCCCAGCCCACACATGCCCTCAGGGTCTGTGGCTTTGCTGGATGCCTTTTGTGCTACCTACATGGGGACCATTGGTGAGGCCTGAGCCGCGGGTCTAGACTTCTGCCTCCCTGGGGCACTTTGAAGCTCTTGCCTCTGAGACCCTATTCCATCATACTTGGGCTACCTGGGAGCAGAGCACTGCCGAGTGACTCACAGACCTTTCTCTTCTCTCCAGTTCAGGGAAATCTTTTTTAATCTGGGGGAAATCCCTCCCTCCTCAAACTGTATTCTCAATAGGTTCAGGGTTTTTTTAAACAAAAGCTAAGAAGCCTTGACACTAACCTTCCCTTAGGCAAGGAAGCACATAAAATATAGCCTATTTAGGGCCGGCCCCGTGGCTCAGCGGTTAAGTGCTCGCGCTCCGCTGCTGGCGGCCTGGGTTCGGATCCCGGGCGCACACGGACACACCACTTCTCTGGCCATGCTGAGGCTGCGTCCCACATACAACAACTAGAAGGATGTGCAGCTATGACATACAACAATCTGCTGGGGCTTTGGGGGGGAAAATAAATAAATAAATAAAATCTTTGGAAAAAAAAAATATAGCCTATTTAAATGGTAGAAGAGGGAGAAAACACAGATTTTTTTTTTAAGGTAGTCAGTTGCAGTAAAAAAAACTCAACAGGCCACCTCAGTTCAGTGTTACCTCCTCTGAAATGAAAGCTGTGTAGCCAAGTCTGTGTTTTTATAACTTATTGAAGAATATTAATATTTGTTAAATGTGTTTACATTTTATTGATATACTGTAATTTCTGAGAGATCTAAATATCAAGCAGAATGTAACATTCTAATTTTGTTTTGTCTTGTTTAACCTAAGAACACTGGAACTATTTTGGGGCTGATGAAAATCTTGGTCCAGTGGCTGTGAGCATTCGAAGGGAAAAACCGGAAGAAACGAAAGAAAATGGATCTCCATACAACTATCGAATAATTTTTAGAACGAGTGAGGTAAGTTGTACACAAGAAAGACTTGAGGCTTAATTGAAGTGAGACAAAAATAGAGCAGTAGCAGTAACAAAGCAATTAAATTTAATAGCACATGGTTACAGATGTCTTTAGAATAAACAATGGCCCCTTTCATTCATTCTGGTGGTTGGAGGTGGCCGTGATGGGATAGATCTGGATCCTTTCTCTCCCTCTAGCTCTGGATAGATGCAATAAATGAATAGGAGTTTTGATTCAGAGAAAGATATGTCCATTAAGTGGGCCCTCAGAATCCCAAATGGGATATTGCATATCCTGCTGAGGCGGCCGGAAAGAACTGAGCCAGCTTGAGGAGCTGGGGTACTTACATAAAGAGGGGGTCACCCAAGATGTAACTCACTCTTCCAAACTATTGCTTAGGACATTTCCTGACCCAAGAAAGGGAAAAAGACTCTTTTCTTTTTCAACTTTTGCTTTGCTGTCTCTTGAACCTATTTTCTGAGGCCGAGGATGCAGACTCTTTGAACCGGAGACTATCTAATAGTGCATGAAACAGGCTCTTGGAGCTCCTTAGGAATCTAAGTACACATAATATTTGAGTTTTTATTTTATTTTTTTGGTGAGGAAGATTGGCCCTGAGCTAACATCTGTGCCAGTCTTCCTCCCTTTTTTATGTGGAACACTGCTGCGGCATGGCTTGATGAACAGTGTGTAGGTCTGTGCTCAGGATCCGAATCTGCGAACCCCGGGCCGCTGAAGTGGAGCACGCCAGCCTTAGCCGCTACGCCACCAGGCCAGCCCCCTGAGTTTTTATTTTAAAATGAAATTCAGGTTAAAAAAGAAAAGGAAAAATAAAATAGCCAATAAAGCATTTTTTTAAAAAACTCATGAACAAATTTGGGATAACGAGGTTCTTCTTTGTTTTCTTTCTAAACATATATATAGTTTAGTTATACAATTATACAATAAAAATATATTTATATATTATAAATTGATACGGTTATCAATTTATTGCCTCTCCGTGCCTAATTCACTTTAGGATTGTTGTTGTGCATTAATGCCTAATACTCCCTTGAGGTATCTAGAAAATAATGGTTTTGAAATTAGTTTAAATAGGGCATTTGGCTTCATTTCCCCTGTTGAATACAAGGCAAGTTTCAGGGGTTGGTTTCACTTAGTAATTGTTCCTAAGCTTGAACTCTGGGGAAATTAAAAAAAGAATTTTTAAAGGCAAGACTTGAATATCTCATGAGTTGTGTATAGCGGTCAGAGAGAAATGAAGAACTAACATGCTCTGGAGTACTTTTTCTCCACACCAAAGCTAATCGTCAAGCAGCGTAAATTCTTTTGTTGAACGTGAAAAGCACAGAGAACACACTGTGTTTTTGAAGCTGGATGTAGCTAGTGGCTCTTGTCTGTCTTCTCAGATCCCACAAGATTTCCTTGAGCCTCAGTTACCTTCCTCCCAAGTGTTTTTGTCCCTCTTGTTCTTATCTTTTTCCCCTCCCAAGGCCATTCTGAGTTAAGTCCACCTCATGTTCTTCCTTTTCTGTGTTTTTTATTCATTTAAATTCTTCATCTTGCCACTCTCCTATCATCCTTCATGCCGGAGTTGAAGTTTTCTAAATTGGCACATTCTTTCTCAGATCCTGTCACTGGTTTCCGTGCTTGTCCCTTCCAGATTGCCTTGCCAGCGCTCCGCGTCTGGTCCCAGCCTCTCTCTCCAACGTTAACTCCTGTCCTAAATTACCGTGGTCCCTCTGCTGTACTCGGTGGACCACACTGCCTCTTGCCTTCCCCACCTCTGTTCTTCCAGGCCTCGGCCCAAAATGCTGTACCTGCGCCTCCCTCTGCTTCTGTGTCTTGCAGTTCAATCCTTTTCCTGCTGAGCCATTTGACGTCCCTTGGGTCCGTTTCCTTAGCAAGGATCCTTTTGAAATGTAATCCAGGTCTTGTCGTTCCTCAATTCAAAATCCTGTAATGGTTTCCCATCTCCCTCTGAGTAAAAGCCAATCTCCTTGCTAGCCTAGGAGACCGTGCACATCTGCTTCCCACCTCATTCCCAATAACTCCCGCTCGCTTGATCTTCTCCAGCCACACTGGCCTCTTCCCCTCCCGGCCACTTCAGGACACCTCTGCCTCAGGGCCTGAATCTCCCTATTCCTCTGTAGTAGATGCTCTTTCTCAGACATCCTCTTGGCTGGAGCTCTCTCATTTCCTTCCGGCCTTTGCTCATGAATCCCAGGGGCCTGCCTTGTCCGCTGGATCTAAAATTTCTACTCTCTCATATCCCCATTTCATATCCAGTTCCAGGCTTTATTATTTTCATGAACACTTAACACTGTCTCACATAGTATACTTATTTATTTTGCTCATTTTCTGTCTCCTCCGCTAGAATATAAGCCCTGTGAGGATGGGGACTTTTGAATTGTTCATTACTACATGCCTGATGCTAAAATAGTACTTTCGCTCCCTCTCTGTTCCTTCCTTCCTTTAATGTCTATTTAATTGCTACTAGCTTTTGTGTAATTTTTTTCTTTCCAGTAAAAGTAATTCTTAAATATGGTTTAATTGTAGTATCTTTATGAGGCTTTCATCAAAATAAACTAACAAAAGCCCCTTGATAGAAACATCTCTGGGTGTTGATCCCAGTGCGCAGCTCCTGCGCTTGGCGGGACAGCACGTCACTCTTCCCATCAAAGCTTGTTCACTAAATACGTAATAAGTAAGACTTCTTTGTTATGCCTTTGTAGGGACCAGTTGTGCTATTAATTTCTCATTAACGAATGCATCAAGAAAAAAGAAAACATGGTCACCACAGTGACATTCCAGTTGCTTCAGTAAATGGCTTCAAGATAACAGAAGTACAAACAAATCTCTTTCATTTCAGTAAAAATAATCACTGCACAACATAAACAGAAAAAGACCTCTCGTATTTGTAAGCATGACAGTTTATGACAAAATCTTACGGCATGTGGGTGCTTTTCAGCGTAGGTGCACAGGGTCTTATGAGGATTCTCTTCTTGTTTCTGGAAGTCATTAACAAAAATATCAGTAATACTAGTGATTCAGATATAAAAATGAGTCATTGTTTTTCTCCTCTGCCTCGGCTTTCCTGAGGTGAGCTCCTATCTCTCTGTGGCGCAGGATTAGCGATGATTAGCATTCCTGGTCTTGGTTTCTCAACTGAAAATCCTTCCAGCCTTTGTAGCTTCCTTTCCCTGGGCACGGTTATCTCATGGAAGGAGGAGCACAACAACTGAGTTGTTCAGTGATTTCCTATGATTTAAAAAAGAAAAGAAAACAACAACTATTTCTCTCCAATTAGATATTAAGTCATAGGAAAATGATTTTTTTACCCAAGTGTTATTCAAAAACAAATTATTTATAAATGAAAGAAAAGATGCTAATTAAATTAATAGACTGCACATACCTCAAGTATGTTTTTCTTGTACTGAGAGTAAGATGTTGGTAGACTTTGCTTTTCTTGCCCTCATCCTTTTTCTCCATCAGTTTTCAAATGTAGATTTTACTTCCCTAGTGATTCTTCCTTTAGTTTCCAATTTCCCTGCTGATCCTCTATCATGCCCTCTTTGCCTGTTGCTTGAAGACTGTTACAACTTTCTTCTAACTATATTCTCTGCCTCCAGGTTTTTCCTCTCGCCTCTTATTTGCCAACTTAGTTAAAGTATACGTCATCGTCCCCATTCACACAAGTTCTGCGATTGCCTGTTGGAGCCCGATGAGGTGCCCACCCCTGAGTTTGCGTCAGGGTCTGCTGCCCTGGGGCTCGCCCCCATCTCGCCGCTCCTCCACTGACACCTCTGTTGCGCTCTCTGCAAATCCAGCTAAGCTACAGCAGTCACCCTTTCTTGCTCATACCTTGTTCTTCCTTATCTTGATACCTTTGCTCTCTGACATGGTCTTTTTGCAGAACTTTTCCTAGATTTCATGGCCCCTTTTTAGTACCACCCCTTCCATGAGGATCTTTCCTTGTGTCCTCAGCCACCAGGATCCGTTTTCTGCCTTTGGACTCTCTTGGGACCCAAACTTGTTAGACTTTTCTTAGTGAATATATCCTTCTGAATTGCACTTGTGAATTGCTTACCTCTCACATGCCACAAGCATCCCTCGATGTACTTCTCTCTCAGCTCTCGTAGCTCCTGTTGCAGCACAGTGCCTTGTAACCTACAGGCTTGATGGAAATTGGTTCAACATAATGGGTCTTTTTCTTAGGTCACCAGACAGTGTTTAAGTTATGTTAACAACTTTGCCATGTGAAAATTTTTGGAAATTAAGACTACTTTAGGCTTCATGTCTGGTTAACTTGGCTCCAGCAAATCATCATTACATTGGGAAATTTTTTTGCTTATGTTTATATTTCATAATGAAGGTGTTTCAAGAAATAAGGGAAAAATCTAAAATAATTTCAAATGCTGTTGACTGTGCTGCTGTACTGACTATAATCATTGTCCTGTTGTAGCAGCATTTGGGGATATGAATAGTTTATGCTTGTCAGCGGTACGTTATGAAGTTTAAAACTTGATCCTTCTCTTACTTTTTATAATTCAAAAAGTTATAACATCTAAATTCTGAGCATTTATTTTTCAGTTATTTCTCTGGGATATCTCCTTCTTAATTTCCTGGTTAATATGGTTTGTAGCATTTTATAGCCATATAGAGACCTTGATCTTACTGAGCTCTTGAAGGAAGTACTCTATTTGGCATTGAAGTAAATGTGCTCAGAAGACTTGATCATGAGTTCCTTTGGACTTGCCTGGGTCTTCTTAAAAGTTTTTCATATACAAAGTATCTTCCCTCCTTCCTTCTCTCTCCCTGGCTTGACCAATCAAAAGTCATTCCCAGCTCCCTAAGGGGGACCTCAGTCTCGGCCTTCAGTGCATTTGCTGAATTTACTCATTTCACACGCCCAGAGAGGCCTCACCGGAGCGCACATCTCTCTTCCAGCTCATGACACTGAGAGGTTCAGTCCTGGAGGATGCTGTTCCCTCAACGGCAAAGCACTCGACTGCCCGAGGGCTGCCCCTGAAAGAAGTGCTGGAGCATGTGATTCCCGAGCTCAATGTCCAGTGCCTGCGGTTGGCCTTCAACACTCCCAAAGTCACAGAGCAGCTCATGAAACTGGATGAACAAGGGGTAAGTTGGCTTCCGGAGGAGAACATTCCTGTTGCTTGGGTTTCCCATAGGTTTCCAGGATACAGATCTTAATATTTCTTTTTTGACAGGGAAAACTGATACCATTTATTGTGAAGGTTGTTCTCTTTGCAATTACTCATTTTCTTTTTTCGCAACTCTCTGAACTCTGAACGTTTCTCATCTGATGAAATTCTCTATGTCAGAATTGATATATAGCGTACTTTAACTGTGTTCATCTCTTTTGGTAATCTTCCATAAATGCAGTGAATTTTTCAAGTGCTCTAGGACTAAGTAGCAGCAATAACAGTGATATTAAAGCTAAGGCTAATGAACATATTTGCCAGGCTCTGGTTTAAGTGCCTTAAATATGTTATCCCATTTAATCTCCGAGCCCTATGAGAATGGTACCATTATTATCCCCATTTTAGAGACAAGGAATTGGAGGCACAGAGAGGGTAAGTAGTAAGTCCAAATTCACACAGTAAGTTCAAAGCCTGTACTGTTAGCCACTACACCACTCTGTTCTTAAAAGCTTAAATTTTTAGAAGTCCATTATTACCACCAAAGATGTATTTTAGCTAAGATTTCTGAATACAAAATTTGAAAATTTTGGGTCCTAATTAGTAACGAAATGAAAATGCTCGAGGTTTTCTCACCTCCGTACTTCCTGTACCTAATGTGGAGGCCCTTTGGTCAAGGTGCAGATGAGTGATAGGATGATCCTTATAGAGGCAGCAGAAGGGTAGAGAATGAAAAGTTGTGATCTGGAAAATCCATTAACCAAAGAGTGGATCCACACTCTACTTGCAATGATTTGAACACTTGAGTTAGTTTTGTTAGATGTTGCATTTATATACTCTTACTTTAACTCTTTCTTTGAACATCTCAGGCATATTGCATCCTGGCAGGGAGTGATAGTATCTTTACCATTGCATTAAAAAAAAAATGTCCTCCAAAGTAAAATTGGTCTATGAATGCCACTTTATGAATAAATTTTGATGGTATGTCCTTAATTAAAAATTTAGATTTTATTAAAATGAATAGGAGTTCAAAAAATCAGTTTCAAGGTATATTTATTCTTTTAATTCAGGGGATAGGACTTATTATGAACCAATAGTTGGACTTAACTTTTCTAATCATTGCTCTCTCTGTTCATTCATTTCACTTATCATAAAGTATAGCTAATGTCTATTCCATATATATATTTCAAGTAGGCTGTGAGTATCTATGTTTATAACGTGTCAACATGAAACACTGTGAATGCTTCAGAAGATGACTGATGCATAAACTTAACTATTTTGAGGGCTGTTTTCCAGTAAATATTTTGAACATTTATTCATTATTTATTATTAAGGAGGAGTAGAAAATGGTGATTAGGTTTAATTTTATGGATTCAATATTTTTAGTTACTATGCTTTCTAAGGAGAATAACAACATTTAGACATTGATAACATAATCATATCTTGACATTCTAAATTCTACATTAGAATAGATTATTTTATATAAAGGAGATTTTTATTGCCATTTTCCCTTTGTTTTACTCATATTAAGTAAAACATGGGTGCCCCAATTGTAGACATTTTATGGGATCTCTGGTGCCTTTTGTGCCCTCTTTTAGTGATTGCAAAAGGTCGGACCACAGATGGGGCTGATCTGTGATGAACACTTTATGGTCCCATCAGCACAGGAAAAATAACACTACAATGAGTTTAACTTAAAGCTAAATTTATTTAGTTCACAAAGCTGTCCATTATTCTGAAATTATAGTCTGCTTATTCTTGGAGGGTATTAAAATATCCTTTCCTTCATAAATAATTAATGATAATGTGTTAGTTGTTTTCTTTAATGCCTTTCCTCGGCAAAATTAAAATTTGGAAATTTATTTTCAAAATCCCCAATTTTATTTTGGAAATTTTACTAAGCAGTTGAATTTAGAAGTTTAAAATCTGCTATTCTACGTGAGCAGTTCAATATCTGGACTAAGGGGCACCCCTCCTTAGCCTCTGTCTTTTCATTTATATCTCCATAGCATTCAAAGCCAGGATTGTACTGATAGAAAACAGATGACACACATATCTAGGCGTTTAGTCTGGGGAGTCATTTTTTTAGTAGGAAATCTCATTAATGCCTTAGAAGCATTTTGAGAAACTGATTATTTTGGTGCCTTTACAAATAGAGATTTTAAAAAAGAAGTGCTTAGAAGGGCGGTAGATTACACATTTGAATCATTGCTAAGCATTTTTAGTTTCCATGTTTGTCATCGTTTTTTAAAATTTCATGCTTTGTACATTCTTATATTTAAAGAGATTCATAGTATGATACCAAGAAACTGGACTTGCTAAAAGAAACTTTTAAATCTCCCTTTAAATTTTATTTAAAGGATTCCTTTAATATCTTTTCTATTTTAAACGGCTTACATAATTATACTTGGAAAAAGAAAATACTATTTGCTTGCTATATTGTGGCATTTTGCCTTTCAGATCTTTGGTGCTTTATTTTCTCATTTTACTGCTTTTAAAAGCTGAAATGAACAGAAGAACAAATTAATATCTGTAAAATATAAAAGAAAGCATTTCACAAAAATAGAAAAATTTGTTTTTAATTTGACTAGACTCTGATATATATTCGGGAACCGAAGTAGGCATTTTAATTCCTGAAGTTTTAGAAAATGAATGTCTAGTTTGTGGCTTATCCAAGCTCTCAGGTTCTCCTTCCTGAAACCTCTCTGGGCCTTGCACTATTTATTGATGTCCATTTCCATTATCATATAAAGGGCAATAAGAAGATGACACTAACCTGCTAATGATTTCACACCATCAAGAGTTTAGAACAGTTTGTGACTCAGAAAATTTGAATCAACTCTGGATTTAGTTTATCCATTGTGGTCCTAGATCTTCACTTATTAGATAATTGAGAGCATCTCTTGTGATAAAAACAAATTAGATAAATATATATGTTTACTTGTTACACTGTGCTAAGCACTTTACCGGCATCATCTGATTTAATCCTCACAGCACCACTGCACAGTGGGTTCTAGTTATTGGCCGATATTACCGTTTAGAGGATTGAGACTCAGAAGTTCTCAGTGCCATTTCCCTTAGTAGGCCTGGACACTGGATACAAATGTGCATAATACTACCTTCCGTTTTTAAGATTTACAAGTTTTCATATGCTTTTGTGTATCTTGAATTATTTTGATCCTTAATGCTACATACACTATAAAGTATCAGGAATTTCATTATCTAGTCAAGCCAACTTTTTAATAATGTGGCTAATTCAGTTACTTTTAAATTTGCCATGTCAGAGCCATTTTACTTCATCAGTCATTTTAAAAACCCCTTTATCTTATCTACTCCATGCAAGGGGAATGGAAGGTCATTATGCTATGCTCTGTTTCAAGGCGTTCACATGTGTAAAGCCCTTAGTACAATGCCAGGCACATGGTGAACATTGAAGAAATATTAGCTGTGGTTGGTAATGATAAAATAATAACTTGTTAGTAGCCCTTTACATGCATCATCTCATTTAATCTTTGTAAGCATCCTGTGAGAGAGCTGCTGTTATAGGTAGTATAGATGTTTACTTTCATAATTAAGCGTAATTGTTTCAAATCCAATAAATGCTTATTGACTAACCACTCTTTGCATATTGTTAAATACTGTAGAAAATAAATAGGCTAGTAAGAGGCAGTCCTTACCATGAAGGAGACAGGGTCATAAATTACTGTGATGGAGGTCAGGGTTAATATAATGAGTATAATAACAGAAGTGCAAGCAAAGAGCAATGGGGGTGCAAGCCAGTGGGGCCGAGTCATGACTGGTTAGATGGATCAGGATGAGATGGGCCTTGGGAGAGAAGAGGGTTTCATCAGGCCAGAGAAGCAGCAGAACGGTGGTCTAGACTCAGAACAATGAGAACAAAGCACAGAGTGTGCGTATGGGGGAGCAAGCAGTCCAGCTGAGCAGGAGTGTGAGGCACACGTAAGAGAGTAATAAAAATAGACATTTTTTATTGAGCAGTGACTAAGCCAGGCTCTGTGTGAAGCAGTTTACATGAATTATTTTAATTAACCCTCAGAGTCCTTTGATGTAGGTGATATGATTATTCTTGTTTTACAGACGAGAGCGCTGAGGCATGAAGGGGCTGAAAGACCCCCCAGATCACAGTTAGGATCTGGTGGAGGCAGACCTTGACTCCAAGCATTCAGACTGCAGAGCCCACATTCTTACCCAGTACACATTCTTACCCAGCATACCCCGTCCTCCCGTCCTCCTTTTCCCTCCTCTTGAGTAGAAGAAACTGGAAAGATGGCTCCAAGCTTTATTGCTGCAGGCTTCAGTGTTCAGTATTAAGTATAACATGTGAAACCCAAATAAAATTGGAGAAGAGTTTAAAAGCATTTGAAGTACAATTGCCAGTTTGCAGTAGAGAAAATTGGTAGTCCTGTTTTCATTAGGAAATGTCAAGTTTCACGTACACAGTAGTGGTTTTACCTAAATGAGTATCTCCACTGTTTTTGTAGATACTCATTAAAAATGCAAAGAAATGAAAACATTTATTGGGTTCTCTATTCTTTAAAAATTTACCCTTCAAGTTATCGAAGTTAAAGGGGAAAAATATCATATCTAATTAGGTCTGCAATATATATCTCAAGAATAGTTGTAAGGAAAGTGGCAATGTTTATTTGATAATTGAATAGCACTGATCTTTTGATTAAGGACATGAATGCAATTCTCTGCTGACTTAGCCTCTTCACTGCCCTGCTGCAATATTTTATTGAGGATAAATGGGTTTGACCAGCCACTTTCTTTGATTCAAGCAGCTAGATTTAAAGAAGGAAGCATAGGGAAAACATTTTTTCCCAAACCCATTTTCTGTGAATGAACTTTTGGCAGAACAATTACTATTCCTGAAATTTTAGTCTCTTAGATTATGGTATCAGCTAATACATGTTTAAAGTTCAGATGACCACGAAATTGGTTCCAGACAACTCATGGATC